GCGTAATCTAAAATCTGGAACACGGATAGCAGGGCGCCCGCAGGACGTGGGAAGGCCAGGCGAAACACCTTAGAAGGACTTAGGGAAAGCCTTCTGGAGACCTTCCGGGCACGCGTATAGGGAAACGCTTTCAAAAGCCCCTTCGGGACCCGCTGAAACCTCAAGTAGCCCGCTGAGATGTGTGGACCGCCTCCGGAACGATCTCTGGGGCTACCCTGCGGCTCCAGCTTCTTAAGATCCTATTTAGCTGTGCAATGAGCTATCCCGGAATCTGGGGAGTGCTGGAGAGCGTTAAAGAATAACCCGGGGGAGCTCTCAAGCTCGGAAAACGCTGGTTGGAAACGCTTGCCCGGGAGCCTCGGAGAGGAGCTGAGGTAGCGGTGCCTGGCACCGTCTCCGAGCCAAACGCAGCTCCTCGGCGCTGCTCGTCACTCCCTGCCGATGCCGAGCTGGCAGGCGGCGGCGGCGGTGGCGGGGGCGGGCCGCTAGCTGCAGGCGTCCATCTGCTACGCCCTGGATCGCCACCAACATCGCCTCCACCTCCAGGGGGTCCGCCGAGAACTCCGTCACGTCCGCGCTCCTGGCGGTCCCTCTGGAGGCCCTCCGGGCCACCCATTGGGCCCAGGGCCCATCGGAGGCGGCCCAGGAGGCAGTCCGCCAGGCTGCAACGCTCGAGGCGCGCCGTGAGCGCCGGCTGCCGCTTCAAAGCTAGGCTCCTGATCTCCGCCGGGTGCGATCGCTGCTTGGTCCGCGGCCGACGCTGCAACCGCTGGGTCAGCGTCGGGCGCGGGATTGCCGAGCCCAGCGACGTGCGGGGCCACCTCCTCAGCCTCGTCGTATTCGCTGCTCGTCGCCTCGGCGCCCGACGCACGATTCATCAATGGTGGTGGAGCGCCCTCCGTCGCCGCTCGCCCACCAGCTGTGCACTAGCCTCTGCTCCGCCGCTCGCCAGGGAGGGCGGCGTGCCTGGCTCCTGGCGGTCCCCATGCACTGGGGTCCGGTACCCCTGCGTTGATGCCTCACCCTGGGCTGCGGCTGCTGTTGCCGATGCGCGGTCGGCCAGCCGCTCTGCCTCCAGCTGCTGGTTCCTGCGGCTGAGGCGCTGCAACTCCATGCGTAGCTCTCGCAACTCCGCCAGTTGCAAGTCCACTGCAACAGCTGGCGGTCGCTGCTGGTCCTGGCTCATGTCGGGCGCGTCCGCCCTGCCAGTGCTCTCAAAAACTGTGGCTGGCGACTGGTCTGGAAGCTGCGGCTGAGCAGGCACAGGCATCATCGCGCCCGCCGCCCACGCCTGGCGCGCTCTCGCAGCAGCGCCAACGGCCAGGCGCTGCATCCCGGTCGCTGCGGTGCCGAGGGTGGCACCCACTGAATGCCACGCTGCGGCCAAGCTACCCGCGAGGCCGCTCGATCAGACGGCCTGCCGCCGGCGGTACGCGACGTCGCGGTCGGCGAAGCAGGCGAAGCAGACTGCATGCCCCTGCCAAAGCCGCACGCAGTGGCTGTGGACGTCCGAGAAGCAGATGTCGCACACCACCGACGGCCCCACGATGACGTCCGAGCACGCCCTGCACCGTGCACGCATCAGCGCAGCGGGCGGCGTCAGCGGCGCTGCAGGGAATCCATGGGCGAGCGGAGCTCCAAGCGCAGGGTGGTAGAACCCCTCGCTTGGGCTCAGAATCATTGAAAGGGCCCTACTGTCCTCCAGCGTCGTCTTCACTGATTTCTGACTCTGGGTCGACCTGCGACGACCCTCAAGTAGGCCGCCAGTTCCTCCCGGGAGGCCGGGAGCAGCCAGAGAGGCCCCTGATGGGGCTTCGGTGCCACGCCGAGGACGGCCCTGAGAAGGTAGTCGGCCGTCTCGGCCAACCGCACCTCCAGGGACCAGTTACGGGAAGGAATGCCGCGACATCCCTGGGAGGGGCGGTCGCTGCGAGCCCCCATGTGGGAAGAAGGGATGTTTTTATTTCACCGCGCACTTGGGCCAAATCCGCAGCACCAGTGAAACTTCTGGGAGGCATCCGCATGCAGGCGTAGTGTCGCACAGCATGTGGATGTCCTCCCTCCCTCCCAGGTTCATGCAGGCGTAGGGGCGCGCCGCATTTCCCTGAGAGGCGCAAGCATGTGCACATGTACCAGGGCTAGCTCCGCGCTGCTGCTGGTTGCTCGGCCGCTGGCGACCTTTTTGAGCTCGCTGGAGGCCGTCGTAGGTCAGCGGCTCGAGTTCCCTGGCCAACAACATCGGTGCCCTTGTGGAGGCCGCTTGGGGCCGAAAAAGGGACCAGCCAAACGGTCCTGGCCAAGGGGGGCCAGTGGAAACAACGAAACACTTTATCACGCCTGGCCACGGGTCCTGTTGATTCGATCTAGAGCTAAGTCGGGCCTGTCCCTCTACATGAGGGCAATTCAAAAATAGCAAAAAGAAATAATCAGGGGACGATGTTTTGATTTTTTTTGTGGTTTTGCATTTTGGGACTATTTTCCTGAGTATTGTTAATTTTTCGCCCCAGATCCCCCTGTGGGACCTAAATCCAGGGCCCGTGGCTCGGGGCACTCCCGTGCCCTACTTGCAGCCTCTGGGCTGATGCTGCTGATACATGCGCATGCTGCGCTCCCTGGCCCGTGTCGGAAGCTCCCCCCCCTGTGTTTCCTGTTTCCAAAGGGGGGGGGCTTCAACCCCCCCTCCTTGCCCCTTTTTTGCGTGGGTGTGTGTGTGGGGGGGGGGGGCGGGGGGAGGAGGGGGGGGTTGCATTGCAATGGGTTGCATCGGATTGGATTGGAATCGTTTGGATAAATCGTTTGGATTGCAATCGATTGGGTTGCGATCGGTTGGATTGCAATCGATTCGGTGGCGATCGATTGGAATGCAGGGGAGGGACAGGAGGGAGGGGAGGGATGGAGGGGAGGGAGGGGAGGGAAAGGGATGGAGGGGAGGGATGGGGGGAAAAAGGAGGGAGGGGATGGAGGGGGGGGGGGCGGAGGGATGGGAGGAGGCTTAGCCAATCACATTCTCCTTTCGAAAAGGAGGGGAGGAGGCAGAGGAGGGGTGGAAGGGGGGTGGGTCTGGGTTCGGGTTAGGGTAGGGTTAGGGTTCGGGTTTTAAGGTCTAGTGTTTGGAGTTAGGGCTGTGGTTCGGGTCTAGGGTTTCGGGTTAGGGTTTGGGTAAGTGTTGGGACAGGGTTACAGCTAGGATTCGGGTTCGGGTTTTGGCTTAGGGTCTAGGGTTTAGGGTTAGGGTATAGGTTTGAGGGTTCTGGTTTAGGGGATGGGGTAAGGGTTCGGGTTTGGGCCAGGGGGTTAGGGTTAGGGCTTAGGGTTCGGAGTGTGGACTCGGGTTTAAGTTTATGGGATTAGCGTTAGGGTGTTAGGATTAGGACATGGGGGTTGGGGTTCGGGGGTTAGGGTAAGGGTTTAGATGTAGAGATTTGCAGGCGAGCGGGCGGGCGGGCGGGCGGGCGCGCGGGCGGGCGGGCGCGCGGTTGGGCGCGCGGGTGGGTGCTCGGGCGGGCGGGCGCGCGTGCGGGCGGGCGGGCCCGCGGGCGTGCCCGCGGGCGGGCGCGCGGGCGTGCGAGAGGTTCGGGTTTAGTGTTTAGGGCTAGGTGTTAGGGTAAGGGTCGTAGGATATATATATATATATATATATGTATTTACACACATTTTTGTATACACTCATTTTGTGTTCTTATTATTATTATTATTGTTATTAGTATTAGTATTATTAGTAGTATTATTATTATTATTGTTATTATTATTATTCTCATCATTATTATTATTGTTATTCTTAAAAGATATACAACATTATATTTATTTTTATTTATATATATCGCATTTTTTGTCATTTTGTTTTTTTTTGCGGGGGAGGGATGTGGAGGGAGGGCATGGAGGTGGGGAGATGAGGGAGGTGAGGGAGGAGAGGTGCCCCCACTGCTAGACGCCCCCGACGAGCTCGGAGATAGGTGGATCAGGCGTTGCAGCCAGTACACCCGAACCAGGGCGCAGCGGCTGCAAGGCTTGTCTTTGTTGCCCGTCCCCCGCCCAGCTTGGGTCGTGGGTCTGCACCTTCGCAGATATATGTTGTCGCCATCGCCTGCCGCGCTGCTGATGAGCCCGCTCGTGAAGATCAGCTCGTCCAGCTGTTCGATATAGCGGATGACATGGCACCACAGGATTTTGGGTATGTTTCGTTTCGCACATTCTTTTGCAAGGTGGATCACATGTCGGACGAGGTCTTGAGGGAGCAGCCCAGGAGCTCAACACCCGAGTGGCCACGGCCGCCCCGCGCCAGCCGCTTGTCGACCCGTCTCCTCGTGGAAACGTCTCGGGCGTCCGTCCGTCACCACAGATGGGTCAATCGAATCCCCAGATTTTGGCAGCCCTGGCCGTTCGGTGTCTCGCGTCGGGCCTGTCTTTTGATGCTGGACATCTGGGGGCAGTGGCGCTGCAGCCAGTGTGGCCTCTCGAGCAGCACGTTGCCAGGGTTTCTCCCAGTGCGCCTCCACAGGTCAGCTTATGCACACATTCGGCGCCCTCACCCCTGCCCTGCACATACACGCCAGTGCTGAGGTAGTCGACGAAGATTCCCTTTCTGCCGGGTGGCCCTTCATTGCTTTCTCGCGCGTCGTGCGCTCGATTCCTGACGCGCGAGCGTTTTCTTGTGCGGACCCCCTCCCACTTGGTGGGCGAGTCGTCACGTCATGGCCCCCCGCCCATGTGGGAGGTAAGTCGTGACATCATGAGCTGGCAGCAAGGTCTTACGAAGTCTGCGTCTGCGCTTCCCCCGCAATCACCATCCTCCTTTTCGCCTGTCTGCTTCCTCTTCTTCCTGGTCCTCGTTCTTGCTTTCTCTTCATTCCGGCCAGTCCTGTTTCACCCTCTCGTCCCCGTCCTCCCAATGAGTTTCTTTATCACCCTTTGTTTTTTCTTCTGGCCATCCTCTTTCGTAGCCATGTGTGCTCGGGCGCATTTTCGTATGACCTTAGAGCCGAACTCTTCCCTACAGCAAGATGCCTTGCAATGCAGCGCTCTTTTCTACGTTTCTTCTACTGCCTTACGCCGCGGCGCTGAAGCAGCAAACCAACCAGCAGGTCGAGCATCGGGCTGAGGGATATGAGACTCGGCCGAAAAAGTCTTTTACGATGCCAGCTCAGCCGTTGCCAGTTGCGCCGCAAATTCCGGATTATCTAAACGGGCACAATATACTGTTGTTCGGTGATTCCAACGAGCGAATTTTCATACAGTTCTTGTGCGAAACGTATGGTGCGGAAGTGCAGGTTGTGAATACAGCGACGTGCAAGAACCAGCTACTTGAATTTCCATTCTACAAGGAATCGAACCCGTACCCGGCTGCCTACAGATTCTGCCACATTCCCAAACGCAATATTTCGGTTATGTCCGCCTTCCATAATGGAGTATTGACCACAGGTTCGCATGAGCGTTGGCATGCCCACGTCATAACAAGCGAAACTAGCGAGCACGCAAAAGCAGACATTCCGCATGTAAATGGCACGACAACGGTTGTTTCTTCTGCTGACTTGGTTTGTTTTTGGACATCGGCAGTCGCAAGCAATTTGCCGGAACGCCCTGTGAAAGTGGTTGTGCAGTCGTCTCTATGGGACAGCGTTATGGCCAAGAAATTTTTGGAGGAAGGGAGCTGGGATGCGGATACGATCCAACGGAAGCTGTCATCATGGGGCTCTGGCTGGAATATCTCGGACAGCCCGCATTCTGCCTTGAAAGCTTGGGGTTGGATGGAGCACGTCGAGTTGCTTCTCAGAGCTGTGCAGATTGGATTCGGAGTCCAAGAACTGTATTGGCGGACCAACCCGAATTGTCCAGTGGATGATGCGTTCGTGAACGGCCTGAGTGAAGCACAGGCTGCAGAGATGCGCCAAAGGGTCGATCACGGTAAAGGCATTTGGACGGCAGTGAGCTTGATCGATTGGCGCATGCATTACAGGGCGGGCGACAACACGGCATGCGACTTTATACATTACCGGACAGAGGGCTACAAGGCGTACCTCGATCTGCTGTGGGCCCGCCTTGCGGGCGAGGCTCCTTGACACCTTTGTTGGCGGAGGGCCAGGCCCAAGCCGACCGCCCCCCGAAGCCGCCCAAGCTGACACAACGGTGGCTCTCCCGCCCATGCCGACATCCGCCCGAAAGTGGTCGTTCCATCCCGACCTGCTCTTCGAGGCGAACCCCGCCGCGGCGACGAGAAGCCTCCGAAAACGCCCAGGAGGGCCGCCAGGCCCCAGACATCCTCATATTTTTCTCAGCCCTGGAGCTCCCGACCTGTGGCCCAGGGCCAGTTTTGCGCTCCGGATATTGGTTTGATGGCCCCGGGGCTCGATGACGGGCTCCAGAGCCTGAGATCGAGGAACAATGCCGAAGTGGAACGAATCCAGACGTGCGACGTTATGTTTTTTGTTGCTGTTTTTTGTTTTCTCTCCATACGTGGTCTTCGGAAGTCCTGACCCTTTCCCCTGGGCCGTTTTTTCGTCCAGGGCAGTTCTTTGATGGTCCTGGGCCCGCTGAGGGCCCCCGGCGAAGGCCCCCTCGGGCCGAAAACGGCAAAGAAAAGCCCGTCGTGATTTTCTGCAACGACGCGAACATGTCTGGGATCAGATCCTCCCCGAAGATCTGACGTGGCAAACATTGAAGCATCGCAGTAAATCACCACCAGAGCCCTAGATCCCATATTGTAGTGGCCTCCGGCCAGTGCCGCCGATCCGGGGCGCTCCGGGTGCCTGTGGACATGAACGACGACGAGGAAGACGAAAACGACGACGAAAACGAATACGTCGACGACGACGACGACGAGAGCGATGACGACGACGACCACGACGACGACGACGACGACCGCGATGACGACGACGACGCGAGCGACGACGACGACGACGACGACGTCTCCGAAGCATTCTCCGACCCGGATCGATCTGCGAGGGTCCCCGGGGTCCGAGAGCGGGCGCACGCGCCAGGTGCGAACACAAGGTAGTACCCGGAGCTGCGGGTCAGAAAGTCGAGAAGCTTGATTACCCCAGATTTCGTAATAAAAGGGAGGGGGGTCTCATTTCGGGGGGGGGTCTCTTCCAGGCTATCTTGGAGGGCCTGGGGGGGTCTGGGGACGATGCTTTGGAGGGTTCTCCGAACGGGGAGGTCTGAAATGGCTTGTCTTGGAGGGTCCAGACCCCCTCCTTTTTATTACAAAATCTGGAGGAATACCCGGATCTGCGGGTCAGAAAGTCAAGAAGCTTGATTATCCCAGATTTCATGATATTATCCCGGCAAATCAACCTAACAGCGATGTGTAGGAGCATATCTGGAAGCATTCCCTTTAAGATTCGGATGAGACTCCAGTTGTAGAATTCTGCTGTTCTCGCAGTCGTAGTCGCATTCGCGATGACAGTCGCAGTGGCAACGGCAGTCGCAGTCACAGCCTCAGCCTCAGCCTGCCTCAGCCTCAGCCTCAGCCTGCCTCAGCCTCAGCCTGCCTCAGCCTCAGCCTCAGCCTGCTTCAGCCTCAGCCTCAGTCTGCCTTCAGCCTCGGCCTCAGCCTCAGCCTGCCTCAGCCTCAGCCTGCATCAGCCTCAGCCTCAGCCTCAGCCTGCCTCAGCATCAGCCTGCCTCAGCCTCAGCCTCAGCCTGCCTCCTCAGCCTCAGCCTGCTTCAGCCTCAGCCTCAGTCTGCCTTCAGCCTCGGCCTCAGCCTCAGCCTGCCTCAGCCTCAGCCTGCATCAGCCTCAGCCTCAGCCTCAGCCTGCCTCAGCATCAGCCTGCCTCAGCCTCAGCCTCAGCCTCAGCCTCCTCAGCCTCAGCCTCAGCCTCAGCCTCAGCCTCAGCCTCAGCCTCAGTCTGCCTCAGCCTCAGGCCTCAGCCTCAGCCTCAGCCTCCTGCCTCAGCCTCAGCCTGCATCAGCCTCAGCCTCAGCCTCAGCCTGCCTCAGCATCAGCCTGCCTCAGCCTCAGCCTCAGCCTGCCTGCCTCTGCCTCAGCCTCAGCCTGCTTCAGCCTCAGCCTCAGTCTGCCTTCAGCCTCGGCCTCAGCCTCAGCCTGCCTCAGCCTCAGCCTGCATCAGCCTCAGCCTCAGCCTCAGCCTGCCTCAGCATCAGCCTGCCTCAGCCTCAGCCTCAGCCTGCCTCTGCCTCAGCCTCAGCCTGCTTCAGCCTCAGCCTCAGTCTGCCTTCAGCCTCGGCCTCAGCCTCAGCCTGCCTCAGCCTCAGCCTGCATCAGCCTCAGCCTCAGCCTCAGCCTGCCTCAGCATCAGCCTCAGCCTCAGCCTCAGCCTCAGCCTCAGCCTCAGCCTCAGCCTCAGCCTGCTTCAGCCTCAGCCTCAGTCTGCCTTCAGCCTCGGCCTCAGCCTCAGCCTGCCTCAGCCTCAGCCTGCATCAGCCTCAGCCTCAGCCTCAGCCTGCCTCAGCATCAGCCTGCCTCAGCCTCAGCCTCAGCCTGCCTCAGCCTCAGCCTCAGCCTGCTTCAGCCTCAGCCTCAGTCTGCCTTCAGCCTCGGCCTCAGCCTCAGCCTGCCTCAGCCTCAGCCTGCCTCAGCCTCAGCCTCAGCCTGCCTCAGCATTCAAAATGCGGCCCGGGAATGGAATTCTGGGAACTCGAAAAGCACGAAGTGGCCTACAGTTGGCTCCGGGCGTTCAAAATCATGCCCAGGAATGCAGTTCTGGGAACTCGAAGACCACGAAGTGGCCTACAGTTGGCTCCGGAAATTGTGGCCCGGGAATGGAGTTCTGGGAACTCGAAGAGCACGAAGTGGCCTACAGTTGGCTCCTGGCATTCAAAATGTGGCCCGGGAATGGAGTTCTGGGAAGTCGAAGAACACGAAGTGGCCTACAGTTGGCTCCGGGCATTCAAAATGTGGCCCGGGAATGGAGTTCTGGGAAGTCGAAGAGCACGAAGTGGCCTACAGTTGGCTCCGGGCATTCAGAATGTGGCCCGGGAATGGAGTTCTGGGAGGTCGATAAGCACGAAGTGTGTGACTGTTTGCGAAAACCGAATTCGGACACGAGTTCGGACACAGCTCCCCGGATGCCGCCCAGACCCCCCTGTGGAGTCATCTGCTGCTCTCTTTTGACCCCACTAGAAACCTATCAGCAAAAGCTGTTAGGTAAAAAGGGAGGGGGTCTGGACCCTCCAGGACAAGCCATTTCAGACCCTCCCTCGTGGGAGAACCCTCCAAAACATCGTCCCCAGACCCCCCCAGGCCCTCCAAGGCAGCCTGGAAGAGACCCCCCCTCCGAAATGAGACCCCCCTCCCTTATATTACGAGATCTGGAGTAATACCCGGATCTGCGGGTCAGAAAGTCAAGAAGCTTACTTACGCAATGCCGCCGACCCTCAGAAGGGGGCTGACGTCCACGGGTGTGGCCTCTTGGAGCCTGTTGGGGACCCTCTGGGGGCCTCTTGGACCTCTTGGGGGCCTCCTCGGGCCTCTTGGAAGTTTCTTGGACGCGTGCTGACGGTCTCGTGTGCAGGGGTAGGCCGGACCCCTGAGTCCCAGCTGCATCCTTCTTGTTTCACTTTCTGGTTCTGGATTGGGGTAGTTTGATCGCCACTTCCCGCCGCGCAGGTTGGGACGCTCGAGGGAAAAAAGCGTGCTGACGGTCTCGGGGGTCCTCTTGGGGCGGAGGGTCAGCGATTCGGAAGGCCAGACGGCCAGTGCTTCCTGCCCTCGGTGGTGGTGGTGGACTGGGGCGTGTTGGAAGCGAAGGACGAGGTCACACCTGATGCCCTCACCGCACGCTCCAAGCGATCGCGGGCGGGGTGGGCGACCGCCCACGCGCTGTGCTCTCGTTCCGCTCCCAAGCTTTCGGCCGCGACGGCCGGCCGGGCCCCTCTTCCTTGTAGGCAAGGCGTACCAGATGAGGTTGGAACTCGGAGACCGAGCTCTGGCGCGCGCTCGATGGAAAAGAAAAACAAAACAACGGCGACGGCGACGGCGACGCTGCTGCTCTGATGCCGAAGGCTTCGCCCAGGGAGGGGTGCTCCCCCCTGGGGATGGGGGGGGGCACAGCCCCCCGGACTTGGGGGCGGAGGGCCAGGTTAGATCGGTTAGATCGGCGGCGCGCCCGGGGGGCGAGTGAGCAGGGGTGGGCCCGCTTAGAGGGCTCGGAAGTCCACCAGCCTTCTGGGATACGCTTCTGGAGCCAGAGGCCGTCTGAGAAGTCCAGCCGCCTCCTGAAATCGCCGAGCGCGCTCCACTGCTCGCAAAAGTGCCTCCTCGCAAACGTCCGAGCAACACATGGCTGCCTTGATGCAATCTATCGTGTAGATCCCCCGCGGGGGGATCCAGGCCACTTGCGAGTGCTCCCTTGCGAGTAGCAGAACGCGCTCGCCTATGACCGGGCCTTCTCCTCCTCGCTCCCCCCCTTCCGCTCGCCGCCGATGGAGACTTGCGCCCTTGGCGCGCCTGGCCCCCCCATCGGGCGCCCGGCGCCCGGTCGGCGGCCCGGGGCGTGGCACCGCCGCGCAGGGCGCGGGAGCAGGGACGCCGTGCGTCCGTGAAGGGACGCGTGGGCAGAAACAGCAGCCAAGGAGTCGCCGCGGCCGCGGCGGGCGCCTCGAGAGGGGAGGGGAGGCGGATCTCAGATGGTCTTGGATGGCCTTCAGAGGCTCAGACGGTCGAGATCGTAGACGGACTGCGCCCACTGCTGCCTGGGTCTCCCTCTGCGCCGGCGGAATGCCCAATCTTCTCGACATGTCAGAGTGAGGTATGCCTAAGGTCTTTCGCAAGCACCTGGAATGAAAAGCGTCCAGCCTTGCTCTATCAACCTTTAGCAGCCACAGAGAGTCCAGGGAGTAGAGGACCTTACTCAACACGCAGCTGGTGTAAATTTGCAGCTTCCTTGTCCTGCTGATTGCAGCATACTTCCAGATCTTGCGCAGCTGTTGCCTTCGCCCAGTCGTCGGTTCAATTCATTTCCCACTCGCCCATCGTGTGTGATCAAGCCTCTGAAGTAGACTGCTTCTGTAACTCTTGTCATGGGCTCCCTGGTCGGCTCGTCACCACGCTGTCTGACGCCACTGGCATCTGCAGAGTCTTGTCCCAGTTGAGTTC